CGCAGGCCTCGAGGAAGGTGGGCTCGCCCTCCTCTGCGCCACCCTTCTGCCGCCGCCCCAGCGTCTCCAGGTGCTTGCTCACCCACGACAGCACGTCCTTCATCGCCACGTCCATGCGCATCTGACAGGGGCAGGGGGGAAGGAAGGGAAAGCAAGGACTGTGGTGTGAAAGCTCACGCATGCATGTGTGTGTGCAGGTGCTTGCTCACCCACGACAGCATGTCCTTCATTGCCACAGCCATGCGCATCTGAAGGAAAAATGGGTGTGGAGCGAAAAAAGGAAGTAGGAAAGAGGAAATGGTGGAGTGCGGTGTGAGGGTATGATCATGTATGAGTGCAGGTGCATCCACACACATCTGAGGGAGATGGGCGAGTGGTGAGGGGGGAGCGCGATGTGAGGTGCGTGCATACAGGTGCAGCTTGGGGGGCTCACCCACAATACCACATCCTTCGTTGCCACGTCCATGCGTATTGGCAGGGTGCAGAGTGGAGGTGGGGGCATGGGGGGAGGGATGGGATAGCAGGGAGTGTAGTGTGAGGGTGATGCGTCTCCAGGTGCTTGCTCAACCACGAGTGCACATCAATCATGGCCACATCCATGCGCATCTGGGGTGGGCGAAGGGGGAAGGGGATGAGATGACAGGGAGTGTCATGAACACTCACCTGTTCAATCGAATCACCCCACCTGCTCACCATTCCCCACCTGCTCACCATTCCCCACCTGCTCACCATTCCCCACCTGCTCACCATTCCCCACCTGCTCACCATTCCCCACCTGCTCACCATTCCCCACCTGCTCACCATTCCCCACCTGCTCACCATTCCCCACCTGCTCACCATTCCCCACCTGCTCACCATTCCCCACCTGCTCACCATTCCCCACCTGCTCACCATTCCCCACCTGCTCACCATTCCCCACCTGCTCACCATTCCCCACCTGCTCACCATTCCCCACCTGCTCACCATTCCCCACCTGCTCACCATTCCCCACCTGCTCACCATTCCCCACCGGCCCATAACCCCACACGTGCCCACAACGCCCCACCTGCTCATAGGCGAGGTCAAGGCACTCGGCCTCGAGCTTGGCGGTCTTGCGGTCCTCCTCATGCGCGTTCGATGGGTACAGCTCCAGCACCGCTGTTCCGGGCAGCAGGAATATTATGTTGTCCAGTGCCCGGTCACCCCACGGACCAATCACGATGTCCGCTCGGCCCAGGCCCAAAACCTGTGGGGAGTGAGTTGCAGCAGGGGGACAGAAGACTGGGTGAGAGCTTATAACGAGGATAGGGTTGGGAACAGAAGAAACCTATGAGATGAAAAAAGTCTAGTGAGTTCAGAACAGGGAAGAGAAAGAAGCGAGAGAGAGCTGAGAGAAAAGCAGCGGAAAGGGAAGAGGAAAGGGAAGGAGAAAGGAAGGTGGAAGGAGAGAAGCGGAGGAGAGAAGAAGGTGAGAGAGGGCAGGACGTCTCTCACAGTCACTCCGTGTGTTTCTGTGCCCATCCCTCCCTCTGTACCTCTTGCTGTGAGACAACTCACCTTTTGTCTGGGCAGAACTCATGTGTGGGCAACTCACGGTGGCGACTTCACAGTTGAGTCAGAAGAGAAGACGGCACACTCCTGGCGAATCCACGGCGTGCGCGCCCAGGGAGACGACGGGGGCAGCCCTCTCCTGGCATGGACACCCAAGAGCTCTCTTCCCTTGACACTTGGCCCACGGCCACAGGCGCTCACCTTGACGCGGCAGAACTCCCCTCGTGGCACGGTGGCCACCTCGCAGGAGAGCGAGAAGACGGCGCACTCCTGGCGGATCCAGGTGGCGGCGAGGGAGAAGTTGAACCACGGCATGCGCGCCCAGTTGTCCGCGTCGCCCGCAAACGCTATGCGCACGTCCATGCCCTCCTCGCCCAGCAGTGCCGGGGGGTCCTCTGCTGCTGCCACTGCTGGCACTCGCGTGCTGTGGACAGTGGAAGCAGTGGGACGGGGGAAGAGGGGAGGGTTGAATGGCCTCAGATCTCGTGCATGAGTGCTGTGTCCATGCACTCCTCTTCCAGCAGTGGAGGGAGGTCCTCTGGTGCTGGCACTGCCGGTACTCAGGTGATGTGGGGGTGGGGAATGATGGACACACGAGGGAAGGTGGTGGAAAGCGAGCAGTGCGGAAAGTCACGCGGCATGAGTTCTCTCATATGCATTCTTGTGAATCTTGAAATGCTGGGTGAGGCGAGGGTTGAGGCGCCTCAGAACTCGTGTCATTTCACATGAGTTCTCTCATATGAGTTCCTGTGAAGATTGAGATCACGGGTGGCAAACATAAAACTCTTGTGGAGTTGGAGATCATGGGTGCAGCCCTGCAAAAAGGCCAAATAGTGGCTTTCTGCCAGTGAGTGGCGTTTGTGTAAAGAGTGCTCACTCAAGGCACCACTGAAAAAAACGAACTCACTCAAAGAATTCACGTAATTCTCGAAAAAGCCACTCACTGACTGGCAGAAGGCACGCCACAATGCAGCGCATTCACACACCCTGGGCGTCCCTGCTACATTCACAACTACTGCCGGCACATTCACTGGCTACACTCTCTGCTCAACACGCCAATCACGAGCAGAGAATTCTAAAACTTTTCAGAAGCGCCACTCACTGGCAGAAGGCTCGCACGATGCAGCGCAGTTGCTGCACTGATCGGCGTTAAGGTGCCCCGCTGACGCAGCACCACCGCGTTCTCCAGACATTGCTTTGAGTCGACTCAAACATACACACACACACACCTCAAGACGCAACCCACAAACACAGTATTCCAACACTCTTCAAAACGCCACTCACTGGCAGAAGGCACGGACAATGCGGCGCAGCTCTTGAGCGTCGCTGCTGCACTCATCGGCGTTGAAGGTGTCGCGCTGCCGCAGCACCACCGCGTTCTCCAGACACTGCGGCGTCACCCCGTCCGGTGGCTTGAACGGCGGCGCTGCTCCCGGCCCCAGCACTGCCTTGAGCAGGTTGCTGGCCCACGCTGATATCTGAGGGGTGGGCGTGGGGTGACAGTGGAACGGAGGGAAGGGAAAAGGGAGACGGAGAAGGGGGAACGGAGAGAAGAGGAGGGGGGTGAGAGGGGATTCGTTGGTGCATGTGTGTGAGAGGAAGGGGAAGTGCGCGGCTTGAGCGACTGTTGCCTTTCCTGCCGCGCAGCACCACCGCAATCGCCAGGCACTGTGAAGGCTGGCACTGCCCTCGGCCACACACATGCACTGCCCTCGGCCACACACATGCACTGCCCTCGGCCACACACATGCACTGCCCTCGGCCACACACATGCACTGCCCTCGGCCACACACATGCACAGTCCAAACCCACATACGGTTGGCCAACCCACCCACTTGCGTCCGGAGCATGCCGTCGTGAAAAAGCACGAGGGCCGAAGCAGCTGTGGGAGCGAGGGAGAGGGGGACGGAGGCACACACATCCCGCCCTCCACACAGCAGCGGCCTCAGCAGCAGGCAGCCCACCTGCGTGCGGAGCATGCCATCCTGGAAGAGCATGAGGCGGGCGGGGCCGAAGCAGCCGTGGGAGCGGCGCCACGTGGCGAGGGAGGAGGCGAGGTGCAGCAGTGTGAAGCGGCCCTCGAAGCCCCACTGGCTGTGCGCGATGAAGGTGCTGCCTGAGAGGTGCCCCGCGTCCGGGGGCACGGAGGCGAAGTCGAGCAGCGTGTACTGGTTGCGCGCCGGGTCGTCCATGTCCTCGTCGTTGTCCCCCTGGCCGGTACCAAGGTTGTTGCGTGGCGTGACGGTCAACGAGGGAGGGAGGGAGGGAGGGAGGGAGGGAGGGAGGGAGGGAGGGAGGGAGGGAGGGAGGGAGGGAGGGAGGGAGGGAGGGAGGGAGGGAGAGAGGGAGGGAGGGAGGTAGGGAGGGAGGGAGGGAGGGAGGGGGGGAGGGAGAGAGAGAGGGAGGGAGAGAGGGAGAGAGGAGAGGATGGTGGAATTGTGACAGGCAGAAAACAGTAATGGGAATTTGAGTGCTTACTGACATGTTGAATAGAGGTGCACACTTTCCACACGCATGCACGCACACACATCACCCACACCCACACCCACACCCACACCCACACCCACACCCACACCCACACCCACCCACTCACACATCAACCACACCCACTCACACCTTGGGGCACATGGCGTGTCTTTTGGCAGTGCAGGTGGGCACTGAGCGATCTCAGTGGTGATGTGATGTGATGAGGGAAATGCTTGCTGTTGAGGGATCATCGGGCACCCCCCTCTCTCCCCTCCCCCACCTCCCCCCCACACACGTACACTAGTGTGCGTGCATGCGCGCACAGACATACCTTGATGCACATGACATGTCGGTTGACGGTGTGCGTGGGCACTTGGGCGATCTCCGTGGTGATGAGGGGGTGCTGGAAGGTGAGCTGCTTGAGGAACTGCTTGCTGCCGCGGTGCTCAAACGCGTCAAACACCGGCTCAAACACCATGTGCGCCGCCGTGCTCAGCCGCCGCCGTCTCACCACCTGATGTGTGTGAGAGGGAAGGAAGAAACATGCAGAGAGGTGCATGATGGCATTGCTGCTCAAATCCGTCAACCACCGGCTCAATCACCATGTGCTGTGCGCTGCTGTGCTTAGCCTGCACCGCTGCACCACCTGATTGTTGTGATTGAGAGATGAGGAAACATGCAGGGAGCAGCGTCAAGACTCAAGCCAGCTGTGCTTTGAGACTTGAATGTGCACTAGCGCAAAGACCATGTGCGCTATTGTGATCAGCCTGCCGTGCTCAGCCTGCCGTGCTCAGCCTGCCGTGCTCAGCCTGCGCCGCCGCACCACCTGATTGTGTGCAAGAGCAATGAGGAACGAGATGCAGACATTTGAGGTGATTACAGACAACACTGCTGTGAACTCCATTGTATTGTGACTCTCATCAACACCGATACTGCACACTACAACAACAACAAGGACTCACCTGACTGACTTTGACACAGGCTGACATCACAAATGTGCATTGCCAGACCTTGACATTTACTATCACTCAATGTACATTGATTCAATATGACTCGCCCCATGGGTTGGCGCCCCCCTGGTTTGAAAAAACGGCCGTTTGAAATGGCCGTTTTAAACCAAACGGAAAGCACTTCCTGAAACCGTATTAAACCGTTTAGATCGGCCTTTTTTGACAGGAATTTTCCAAACATACGGCCATTTTCAATAACCCTGCATCCCTTGCATGTACTGGTTGACTTTGACTGATTGACTCGCCTTGACCATTCCCTGCATGCCCTTATTGACTCGCCTTGACCATCCCATGCATGCATCCGTTGACTCGGATTGACTCGCCTTGACCATCTTGTCTCGTTCGAAGTAGGTGACGGCCTCGGATGTGTTGCGCAGTGACATGTACCCCAGCATGATGGCAATGTCGTTCATGCACACCGACCTGAGATCAAGGGGTAGAACAGCACACATACAGAGAAGCAAACAGCACAATTGACACACGTGTGGTGGCATGCAGGAGGCTAGTGAGACATGGATGGACCCCAGCATGTTGGCAATACCGTTCATGCACATGGACCTGGGGTTGGAGGGGCGTTACAGCACAGATGCACATGCAGAGGGACAGCTCCCTGCCAGTATCACTATTCAACACCAGGCGCTCACCTGGAGTTGTCGTGGCTCCCGCGGGACGACAGCCCGGACGACGTGCCGTAGTCGAGCTTCGTGGGGTCCTCCATCAGCAGCGGCGGCAGCCCCGACAGCTGCGTCACCACCAAGTTCATGGTGATGTCTTCGCAGTTCTTGTTGCGCTCCACGTACTCGCGCACGCGCTGCGGCATGATGCAGGTGTACGCGCGCAGGTAGTCGCCGTGCATGAGGAACATCTTGGTGAGCACGATGCTGTACTCCTGCCGCGGCGTCAGCACGTACGTCATCTGCCCGCTGCGCGGCCCGTTGACCTCGCGGTAGTGCGCGCGCGGGAAGAAGCCGACGAGGCGGTACTTCTCCTCCTGCCACCGCTCAAACGCCACTCGCAGCGCACCTGGATGCACCTCGATGTCGTCGTCACACATCAGCACTGCCTCTGTCTCCAGGGAGCTGGGGGAACACAATGCAGTGAGAGGGGCACGCGTGAATGGGGAATCAAGAGGACAAGAACGAGGCAGGGCAAGAAAGAGAATGGCAGGGCGAGAAAGAGAATGGCAGGGCGAGAAGGGAGGAGTATGGCCATCTTTCCACTGACCGGATGGGTTTGAAGCGGTCGTTGAGCGAGTCGATGCCGGAGTAGAGGATCTCGACGGGCTTGGACACGTTGAAGTAGGCGGGGTGGAAGGGCGTCACGCGCGTGTTGCCCCACACGATGTACACCTTGTGCACGAACTCAAAGCGCGCGTAGCGCCGCACAAAGTAGAGCATCAGGTCGAAGCGGTCAAAGCAGTTGATGATCACACTGAACTTGTCCGTTATCGGTGCCTTGCTGCCCGGTTGGGGAGGGGAACGGGGGTTGGGAGTGACAGGAAGGAAGGAAGGAGCGCACGATGACGCTCACGAGAATTTCAAGACGGGGTAGAAGCGGTGAAAGCAGCTGATGATCACGCTGAGCTTGTCCGTTATGGGCAGCTTGCTGTCCGGTTGGGGTGGGACATGGGTATGGGTTTGGTAGGGGGAGTAGCGAGTGAGAGGAGGGAAGCGAAGGTGAGAGCGGTGGAAGCAGTATTATCACATTGGACTACTGTATGTCTTGTGCTTTCACCCTGCCTCACCAGAGTCTGCTGCACTCTACGGAAGCAGTCAAGAGACCACTCACTCACCACTCACTCACTATACACACACCACTCCCTCACCACCACACACAAAGTTATTCTCTCTCCACGCACACGCCACTGTCTGGAAACACAGAGGCCGGAGGGACGCACCGGGCATACGCCATGTAGTTCCGCTGGCACTGCGGCGCCAGCTGGGGCGGCTCCGAGGGCGACCCTGCTGCTGCCGCCGCTGCTGCTGCCAGCCGGGCAGCAGTCGCCACCGCCTCCAAGCTCTCCCCCGCCCCCCCAACCCCTCCACTCCCCCCACCACCAGCCTTCTCAGCAGCAGCTGCAGTGGCAGCAGCGGTGGTGTCGAGGGTGGAGCGGGAGTTGAAGGCGGAGGAGGAGGAGGAGGACTTGGAGGATTTGAGCGCCTGGCGGTGCAGGATGGAGTAGACGTCGTCATACACCTCCCACCACCGGTGGTCGAACGCCCTCGTTGTGGGGAACTGCCGTGGCGCAAGGGAGGACGTGGGGACGGGGGGGAAAGGGAGAGAATTTTGAAAGGAACGGGAGGGGAAAGGAGGGGGGGAGGGAGGAGGAGAAGGAGGAGGAGGAGGAGGAGGAGGAGGAGGAGGAGGAGGAGGAGGAGGAGGAGGAGGAGGAGGAGGAGGAGGGGGAGGAGGAGGAGGAGGAGGCACCCAAGCGGGGGAGGTGAAGCACACACACCTGGCGGTCGACCATCATGTTCCAGGGCTTGGTGTTGCCCGAGAAGTGCAGCACCTTGAGCTTGGGCTCGATGAAGAGGCGCCAGCCGGGCGACACGGAGATGCGCACGAGCGCGTTGTACGTATAGTCGATGTGGTGCACGGGGCCCTGCTGGTACCACGACGAGAAGTAGCTGTTCAGGAAGCCCTGGTCGCCCACGTTGGGTGAGACGAGAGTGGCGATCTTGGAGAGCATGTCTTTGAACATGGCGCGGTTGGGCTCCACCACCATCAGCCCGCTGTTGAACTTGTCGGGCGGCAGCGTGTCGGGCGCCGCGGACAGCTGCGGGCGGTGGAAGAGGTCGTCGATGCTGTGCAGCACGAGCAGGTCCGAGTCCAGGTAGATGAGCTTGCGGTAGCGCACCATGTTCCACATCAGCAGCTTCGAGTACCTGGTGGGTGCAGGGGTCGCACAGACGCGGATTGGCGAGTCAAAGGACACACCCAATCAGACCGTGGTGGTACCGCACCATGTTCCACATCAGCAGCTTCGGGTACTTGGCGAGAAGGGTTTTGGAAACTGGTAGGTTGTTTCCTCTAACCCAGAAGTAGATGAGCTTGCAGTAACCCACCATGTTTCATATGAGCAGCTTCGAGTACCTGCGTGCAGGGAGGCAGGGAACGGACACATAAGCTTGCGGTAACACACCACGTTGCGCATCAGCTAGGTGTACCTGAAGAGAAGAGAGGGGTGAGATGGTCACATGATGTGTATTGAGAATGGGTCCTCCTGGGTCATTGGAGGACACGAGCAGGTCGAGGTCGAGGTAGATGCGCTTGCGGTGCGGTAGGTAGCACACCATGTTCCACGTCAGCAGCTTGGGATACCTGCGAAGGGGGGAGGGAGGGAGGCAGGGATGAGAGAGACGAATGAGGTGGAGAGTGGATGATCACGGTGTCAACACCGTGTTCCCCACTGACCAACTCTTCGCCAATGGTCATGTTGAGCAATCAGTCCTGTATCCAGTCATGCGTCGGTCGGATCCCAATTGGGTGATTCACACCTTGATCCAGATAAGCAGCTTGAAGTACCTGCACGGTTCAAGCACAAACGAGCCTCAGTGAGCTGGAGGGAAATGTCTTCCCTCACTGGCACACACACAAGCATGGCTTGCTGCTTGCCAGACTGAATGCTTCTAAGAACAAATGCCAACTCAAGAAGGTTATTCCTTTTTAGACTTCTCAAAGCTGCTAGGAACATGTGGCTCGTACCTGCAAAGCTTGGACATTGCGAGTCTTTTCGCGGTAACAGCAAAGGGATCAGGCACGGGTTCCAGTATCGTTCTTTGAGTACTCTAGGCACAGGCACGCGCCTAGAAATCGGCTCTTACCTGCACGGCTTACCTGCACGGCTTGTTGATGGCAAGTCGGTCCGCCGTGACGGCGAACGGATAAGGCACGGGCTCCAGAATGGGCTCGATCTTCGCCCCCAAGGCTACCAGCGACTCTAGCGTGCGATTGGAGACGTTCATGGTGAGTATTACGATATCGTGAGGCGTGCCTGTACGGCGTACGGAGTGTACCATCACCATCGCTGCCTCTGCCATGACGTCATCGCACAACAGCGTGACGTAAGCGTACTTGTTCCGCGAACCGCCTGGAACGGAAGTCGCGCTAAGGCCGACTCCGGTCCCGATTTCACCCTCGCCGTCACCTCGTGCTAATAACGGGCGAACACTAACGAAATGCTGAAACAGGGACACGACTAGAATAACTGCAGCCACGAGTCTTGATGAATCCATATTGGATCAATGATAGCCGGTCGATAACAGCCAAGCACTGAATGAATTGGAGCTTCAGGCGAAACTCTCACATTTCAAGGCACAGGAGTACTTGGTGGTGAGCGGACTCTGAATCCATCAATTACTGTACCTGACTACATCAGTTCAAACCCAACCCTGCTGCTGCCGCCTGTTCTAGTAACGCTAAAAGCGTTCGCCTTTTTTGTCGAGCAACAGAATGGCTGAAACCAGGTCCCTAGACTCCTAGGACCGCATGACGTCCGAGTCTCGTCAGAGCACCGCAATAGCAGCAAAATACACAGAACGTCTCCATTACTCTTTCCTCGATACACAGAGTGTGGATGGATGTACGGTTCAGTTGGTTGGTTAGGTTGGACTTCAAAAATCGGCAGACTTCGTCTGGAGTAACCAGTGTTTCGAGAAACCCCTCTAGGGAATCGGAAATGTTGCGCGACAAATTCAGGTTTGACGAAAAAAATCAAATTCGCTCTCACGGAAACACCCCGGGGAGTTTTTGGGTTGCGTAGCAACCCTATATAATCGATTTCATCTTTTGGGGATATCATTTTCAAGAGTGATTTTTACAGCACTCTTTGGAGCACCCGCTTGAAAAGAATGCTTCAAATCGTGAATAAAAATCACTCATGAATGAGGTCTCCCAAAAGTGAAACCTATTACATATCATGTTGAAACCATGATTTTTTTCCGGCCGTCCCAGCTCGTCGATTAATACGGCGGATGGTACGATCGAACATGGCATCAACATGAGCGAATGCATTTGTACAAATGAACACGGTATGAAGTGTGATGCGAATGCTTCAAGAAATGTTACAATGTATCAACGTAGCAATAGAGATTGATGGGGCCGTTGAAACAGCGAATACACGCTGCACCAACGACGATGACAACCTCTAGTTGCATACACGATGCATTGGAACACCCTGCCTTGGAACATGCACATCACACAAACATGAAATGCAAACGTCACGAAAAAAAAGTTGTGACGACATCAAAATGGATGTTAATATGCACCAATGCTACAACTGAGATTGATGGGGTCGTTGAGACAGTGAAAACGCACTGCGCCAACGACGATGACAACCTCAGCTGCAAACACGATGCATACCAACACCACACCCTGAAGTAATCACAACCAACTGACACACACACAGCACACCCACCCACGCACACACGATATACACACATACACACATGCACTGAGGCACATATATATATACACACACATACATACAACGACGAGAGAGAGCAAACAAGCACAACAAAGAGTCGCAAAAAGCTGTTAACGTAACAATCACTGCTAGCCTGCTCCTCCTTCCATCCCTTTTCCCCTTCCCTCTTTGTCCCTATGTTTTGCCAAATCTTTCCCTTGCCAAATCTTTCCCTCGCCTTCCACATTCTACTTCCCACAAAACGGCTTGCACATCCTGCAAAACACAGGTCACGCAAGAAATATACGGCTGTGAGTGGGTGAAGTGAATTATGTAAGGCGCCAGCGCACCGAAACAAGGCGCCAGCGCACTGCAGCAAGGCGCCAGCGCGCTGCATCAAAAACAGTAACGCATGATGGAAAGTGCTATTCAAAATGATGCAAAAGATTGCTAAAGGATGAATTCGGGAGGCAAATCCAAGTTGACGACTCACACATATGGTTTCAAGGCATCACGCACACCACCTCAACATGCACGGGATGTATCACCTACAGAAGAAAGTAAAGGGAGCAAAAATGGTAATGGGGAGGTATTTGCACCAAAAACACACCTAGCGTTCTAGGCGCAAACGCGCCAACTCCAAAAGCACAACAAAGTTGTCCACGACATCAACGCCCATGGTGCTGCTACTGCCAGCGCTCTAGGTGCATGCGTCGCCGGGTCAACACCCATAAGCGCCAATGCGCCCAAGGCACCAACACCTAAGGCGTGAGCACCCTAGGGCTAACGCGCTTAGCACCAATCACTAAGGCGTGTCCAAAAGGACTAAGGAAGAGTTGCCGTTGCCAAAGTTGCGGGCACTTAAGGCGCCAGCGCGATAGGCGCCAACGTGTTATGCACCAGCGCCTTGGGCGCCAGCGCCATAGGCGCCCGCGCGATGGGCGCCAGCGCGACAGGCGTCAGCGCGGCAGGCGCCAAGGCGTTAAGCGATAGCGCGATAGGCGCTAACGCGTTAGGCGATAGCGTGGCAGGCGCCAACGCGACAGGCACTAGCACGCTCGAGGCCAGCGTGTTAAACGCCGCACGATAGGTGCCATCGCGGCAGGCGCTAGCGCAACAGGCGCCAGCGAGATAGGCGCCAGCGCGACAAGCGCCAGCACGGTAGGCATCAGCGCGCGGTAGGCAGCGCCAGCGCGGTAGGCGCCAGCGCTGTAGGCGGCGCCAGCGCGGCGATAGGCGCCAGCCAACGAGATAGGGGCCAGCGCGATAGGCGCGAGCGCGTTAGGCGCCAGTGCGTTAGGCACCAGCGCGATAGGCACCGGCCAACGGGGAAGGCGCCAGCGCGATAGGCGCCAGCCAGCGCGATAAGCGCCAGCGTGATAGGCGCCAGCGTGGTAGGCGCCAGCCAGCGCGATAGGTGCTAGCCAGCGGGATAGGCGCCAGTGCGATAGGCACCAGATCGTATGAAAGATAGAACAAGGAAATGGGATCAACTAGCAGGCAGGTGGGTACAAGTATGTAAACCTAAAGGAGTTGTACTCAATAGTGTCTACCCCAATACAGCCTACAATATAGTTCTGACACACCCCCATAGGCAAAGTGGGGGACAAGCAAGAGAACAAGGCAAGGTCAAGCTCAGGGTGGATCACAACGTCACCACACAATCTGAGCACAAGTACAAGGCCACAGGGCCAGTTCACATGCAGGATTATATAGATCGCAGTACAAGCAATGTCAAGAGGTAAGCAAGTGAGGCCAGGTAGGCACAAGACCTAACATAGTACAGAACCGCTGATGATCACAATGCTGAAGTGCCTTGGTAAAGATATCAGCAGTGTTGGCCCGAGAGGCCACGTAAGCAAGGCGCAGCTGACCACGCTGCTGCAGCTCACGTGCAAGGAAGTAGCGAAGAGCAATGTGCTTCGTTCTGTGCTCCAGTCTGTGCTCCTGACACAAGGCCAGCATTGCCTTGTTGTCGACGTACAGAACTGGAGGAGAACGAGGCGGCTCTCCCAAGTCGGTCAGCAGGTAGGTGAGCCAGCGTAACTCCTGTGCAGCCATGGCCCCAGCGTAGATCTCACCCTCACAACTGGAGCTGAGAACAGAAGACGAGCGGGTAAACCGCCACGAGACAGAGCCGGAACCAAGGCTGAAGGTGTAACCCTGTGACGACCGCTGCGTAGCCAGGTCGTCAACCCAAGACGCGTCTGCGTGACCAGTGAGGACCACTGAACTCCGCCCTCCAAGCACGATCCCCATGCCCGACGTACTGCACAAGTAGCGCAACACCCTCTTCGCTGCAGCCATGTGCTCTGGTCGGTGTCTCCCAGGAGCAACATAGCGTGCCAAGATGCTACGAGGGTATGCCAGGTCAGGTCGAGTGCAGGTCATCAGGTACATGAGGCAGCCCACAAGCTCTGGGTACGGGCCACTCGGCTCTACGGACTCATCCGAAGGCAGAGCTGAGAGCGAGTGGCGAGTAGACAAAGGAGTGGCCTGAGGCGAGGAGTACGTGAAGCGGAAGCGCTGAAGGACCTGCTGCACCATGTGTGACTGGGTAAGGGTAATGGTGCGCCGTGCTCTGTCCAGGGTGATCTGCAAGCCAAGATAGCTGCGCAGTTCACCCAGGTCTGTGCACGTGTGTCTCTTCTGCAGCTCCGACTTCACGTGGGCGAGTCCAGCAGTGTCAGCAAGTAGCAAAGACCAAGTCGTCGACGTACACGGGGTTGTAGAACGGCGGCAGGGTAGTGTCGGTGCGGAGAAACAACGACGGGTCAGCAGTGGAAGGAGCAAACCTAAGAGCCGCAAGCGTAGTCCTCAGTGTGTCGTGCCACTCACGGGGCGCCTGACGGAGACCGTAGACTGGCCGCCGGAGGCTCCACTGGGTACCAGGATGAAACGACCCAGTGAAGCCAGGTGGGCGGCGCAGCCAGATCTCCTCGTGCAGGCTGCCCTGTAGGAAGGCTGTGCTGAAGTCAAGAGAGTGAAGCTCGTAGTCACGCTGAGCGGCGACGTGCAGCAGCACCCAAAGAGTGGTCATCTTCGGGGTGGGAGAGAAGGTCTGAAAGTAGTCAACTCCCTGCCGCTGACTGAAGCCTCGAGCCACGTAGCGCGCCTTGAAGACAGGCGGAGAACCTGGCGGCCGCTTCACCCTGAAAATCCACATGCCGCTAACGATGTTCGCCCCAGGTGGGGGAACCTCGTCGACGTAGGTGCCTGTGGACTTCCAGGAAGCCATCTCTGCGTCCATGGCTGTCTGCCACTGAGAGGAGTAGGGACCCTCTATCGCCTCTGCGTAAGAGCGTGGGGTCGGGATGTCTGGTGCATCCGGGTCTCCCTCAGGGGCAAGCAGCATGGACACGAGATGAGGTAAAGCAGCAGCAAAACACTGGAACTCCTCCTGCCTGTCCTCAAGGACGTCCGTGCTAAGAGCACACTCACCCCCGACGGACGGAGGACAGATAGACTCGGACTCAGCAAATAGACTAGCGGCGTAGTCGAGACGACAAGCTCAGCAACAAGAGCCGACGCAGCAGTAGACTCAAAGGAAGGGTCAGTGACAGCAGTAGAGAGAAGACGCGTCACAGTAGGACTGGCAGCGCGAGCAAGGTCTGACGGCGGGTCAGCAATGTCAGGAAGAGAGGACGCAGGAGGAGACGGCAGAGGGACACGCTGTGGAGCAGTGGAAGGACGAAGTGCCATCTGGTGCGTGCCTGGGACAGCAGGAGGACGCTGACGCGGAACACGACGGCCTGTGCGAGCAGCACGAACAGGCGACGCAGGACGAGACTCAGGATCACGACGCTCCGTAAGACCTCCGTTCGGACCAGTGTAGGGAGAAGGACCAGGGAGTGGCGAGGCTGGCTGTAACTGTGACTGCGACTGGACAGGCAGAGGACACTCTAAAGAGGGAGCAGGACCAGTAGCAGGTGGAAGACCAAGAACCTGCTGAAGGAGCGGAACGAAGTACGGCCGTGGCCGTGTAGCGCCCCCAGAACCAGCAGAGACAGCACCAGTACCCCTAGCGTCAGCTCCAACTCCTGCAGCACCACCAGCAGCGCCAGCAGCGCCAACTCCAGCACCCGCAGGAGCACCAGCTATAGGAGCACCGACAGCTCTAGTACCTCCAGCAGCACCAGCTCCGGTAGGACCACCAGAGGTCCCAGCAGCTCCAGTAGCGCCAACTCCAACTCCTGCAGCACCACTAGCTCCAGCAGCACCTCCAGCAGCTCCAGTAGCGCCAACTCCAGCACCCCCAGGAGCACCGGCCCCAGCAGTACCTCCAGCTCCAGCACCTCCAGCAGCTCCAGCTCCAGCAGGACCACCAGAAGCCCCAGCAGCTCCAGTAGCGCGAGCTCGAGCACCTTAAGCAGCATCTGCTCCAGCAGCACCGCCAGCTCCAGTACCTCCAGAAGCTCCAGCTCCAGCAGCACCACCAGGCCCAGCAGCTCCAGTACCTCCAGTACGAGCACCTCCGGGACCAGTGGCTCCAGAACCCCCAGCAGCTCCAGCAGTAGCAGGACCTCCAGCGCCCTTAGCACCACCAGCTCCAGCAGCACGACTCCAGCGGCGAGCAAACCACTCGCGCAGCTGCCGTGGAGAGAGTGGCTCCCGCCGGGACGAAGCACCCGAAGGACCTCCAGGCTCAGCACCTCCAGACGTCACACGCGCAGGCTCAGCACCCTCAGGCTCCGCACCCCCAGACTCAGCAACCCCAGGCTTAGCACCCCCAGGCTCAGCACCCCCAGACTCAGCGCCCCCATACCCAGCACCCGCAGGCTCAGCACCCCCAGACCCGGCATCCGCAGGCTCAGCACCCCTAGCAGCACCAGAGTCAGCAGCTACCTCGACAGGCTCGACTGCGTCTACCTGGGACACACCTGAGGGGGCAGGACATTGAGGGGGGAGGGGGTCTACCGGGGGAGGACCTGGCGCGAGGAAGAGCGGCGGGGGGGGGGGGGAGAGGGGCAGCGCGGTAGGGGAAGAGACGGTAGTAAGGAACCGACTCGTCAAAAGTGACGTCCTGAGTGGACAGAACACGGCGCGAGGTGGGGTGGTAAAACTGCCAACTAGGCGCGTCAGGGGGGAAGCCAAGGAAGACGCAGGGAACGGCACGGGAGGACAGCTTGTCCGCAGACAAGTCGCGGACGAAAGCTCGAGATCCCCAGACACGGAACGCAGACGCATCGCCAACCTTCCCCCGTCCACCGCAGAGTAGGTGTGGTCTCCGGCAAGGAGACCCGGGGCTGGAGGTTGATCTCATGCGCCGCGTACTGAACCGCGAACGGCCACAGAAAATGGGGAGCAGCCGCATGGATCATGGACGTACGAGCGACGTCCATGACCATGCCAATGCGGCGCTCAGCAATCCCATTTTGCTGTGGAGAGGCCGGAAGCGTGAACGTCTGGCGGCTGCCCTCCGCACGACAGAAGGCTCGCAGAAGGTCGGAGGAGAACTCTCCACCTCTGTCAGAGTGCAGACGCAGGACAGGAAGGTCCGAGCCGAAACTCTCGCTGAGCTGACGACGGGTGGCGCGGATCCAGTCGATTAGCACCTCAGTGACCTCACCCTTGCGGCGCAAGGGGAAGATTGTGGTGTAACGCGAGTAGTCGTCAACTACCAGCAGAAAGTAGCGCTCGTGACCCTGTCCACGGACGCGGGCTGGGCCCAACACGTCCATGTGGAGAGTCTGCAGGGGAGCCTCCGTCGGAGGGAACTCGGAGGAGTGAGGAGCGGCGCGCTGCCGCCCCTCGACGCAAGGAACGCAGGTAGGGGCAGGCCCCGGGGGAAGGGGAGGGAGAGACCGGGGAAGACCAGTGACAAGGACACGGGAGGCCATGCCTCGGAGACGAGGCAGGGAGGGGTGACCAAGGCGGTGGTGCCAGAGAAGAGTCTGCTGAGACAGGAGGCGACACGAGCAGGGGGCAGACTCAGGACCAGACCGGGACGCTGCAGCAAACACCTGACCCGACGCAGCTACCTGACCAGACTCAGCAACCGGAGGAGACACGGTAATCAGGGTATACAGGCTCGACCCAGGCTGACGGGTGAACGTGGCCAGGTGCCGGCCCGTCCGAGTACACGAACAGTGGGTCACCCGCTGACTTCCAGGAGTGAACTGGTCAACCCACGCGTCCTGAAGGTCAGCTCCACTCACCAAGTTCGTGGAGAACGAGGGGAGGTGGAGGCCAGACAGAGAGCCAGACGGGACCGCCGGACACGGCAGAACCGTGGAGGAGTGCGCAAGGACCGGACCCCCAGAGGGGTCAGCCAGAGAGACTGCCACCAGCCGACTGAGCGGCGAGAGTGTGGTGCAGTCGCGAAAGAAGGAGCGGGAAGCACCCGAGTCAAGGGTGAAAGTGTGCAAAGCCGCAGCAGGCGCAGTACCAGAGAGAGCAGACTCACCAGCACCTGGAGCAGTGGACTCCCTAGCGCCTAGAGCAGCAGCCTCACCGGCACCTGGAGCAGGAGACGCACCAGCACCTAGAGCAGCAGCCTCACCAGCACCTAGAGCAGCAGACTCTATACTTGGGTCAGGCGGCACACACATGTGACAGGCACCCTCAGCACTAGTAGGCAATGCATACATGGCAGTGAGGATAGCATCATAGTCAAGAGCAAAGATATCTACCCTCTGCCTAAGCAACTCCAGCCAGGAGGGGAGCTCAGCGTCGTCGCCAAACTCTGTACGCCAGGCGTTGCTCAGACTGGCAAAGCAGCGGGACTCTGTGTGACCAACCGTCCCGCAAGGCTGACCAGCCCGAGCACCAGTGCGAATGACGTACGGGCAGCGAGCAGTACTCCGTGACCCTCTACTCTGAGCGTACCACTCACGAAGCTGCTGGGGCGAAAGGACCGCTCGATGACGCTGCTGCAGCTGCACCTGGTCACTACAAGAAGCTCCCGAACGACCCGCTCCAGGGCGACTCCCACCATGGCCACCCCTACACCCCAACTAGCGTACCACTCACGAAGCTGCTGGGGCATGAGGGACTCACGCGGACGTCGCTGGAGCTGCATCTGGCCACCGCCAGGAGCAGCAGTGGCAGTAGTAGCAGTAGTAGCAGCAGTAACAGCAGTAGTAGCAGCAGTAGCAGCGCGGCCACCCCTACAACCCCAGCTAGCGTACCACTCACGAAGCTGCTGGGGTGTGAGGGACTCACGCGGACGTCGCTGGAGCTGCATCTCGCCACCGCCAGAAGCAGCAGGAGCAGTAGTAGCAGCAGTAGCAGCAGCAGTAACAGCAGTAGTAGCAGCAGTAGCAGCAGTAGCTCCTAGGGCAGCAGCACCTAGGGCTCTTTTTTTTTTATTAATAATTATTTATTTATTTTAGGGTTTGGCAGGGCGCACTGGGCGCTGCAGAGGCGGCTCGCGGGCTGCAGGGGTGGCTCGCGGGCTGCAGGGGCAGGGCGATGGCTGCAAGAGGCAGGCACGCTGGCTGCAGGGGCAGGGCGATGGCTGCAAGAGGCAGGCACGCTGGCTGCAGGGGCGGTTCGCGGGCTGCAGGGGAGGCTCGCGGGCTGCAGACGGACGGCGCGCGGGCTGCAACGGTCTGCTCGCGAGCGGCTTGCACGGGGCGGCGCGACGCGGGGCGGGCAGGGCAGTGGCGGCGCGCAGGCAGGCAGGGCGGACGGGCGTCGCGGCGGGCTGGGGCAGCCCGCTCTGGCGACGCGACGGGCACGGGCAGGGCCGACGGGCGACGCGACGGGCTGCAGGGGCGCGCGACGCGACGGGCTGCAGGGGCGCGCGACGGAACGGGCCGCAGGGGTGCACGGCGCAGCGGGCAGCAGGGGCGCAGGACGCGACGGGCAGCAGGAGCGCTTACCAGGGGCGGGTGCAGGGCAGGGCCGTGATGGGCGGTTAGGTGAGGGCCGCAACGGGGCGGCCGTAGGGCAGGGCCGCGATGAGGCGGCGGCAAAGCAGGGCCGCGACGGGGCGGCAGCAGGGCAGGGCCGCGACGGGTGGCAGGCAGGGCCGCGACGGGGCGGCAGCAGGGCAGGGCCGCGACGTGCAGCGAGGTCAGGGCCGCGACGGGCGGCAGGCAGGGCAGGCGCTCGACGGGCGGCACGCAGGGCACGCGCTCGACGGCGTGGGTAGGGCAGGCGCTCGACGGCGCACAGCAGGGCAGGCGCAAGGGCGCAGGTGAGGCAGGCGCGAGGCGCGCGACAGGGCAGGGAAGCTCGGCAGCACACTTCGGGCAGGGCAGGAAAAAAAAATCGTCGTGGGCCCTTAAAAAAAACGTTCCCACTAGGGAACCTGCTCTAAAACCATGTGAAAGATAGAACAAGGAAATGGGATCAACTAGCAGGCAGGTGGGTACAAGTATGTAAACCTAAAGGAGTTGTACTCAATAGTGTCTACCCCGCTACAGCCTACAATATAGTTCTGACAGATCGATAGGCGCCAGCAATAGGCGCCAGCCAGCGCGATAGGTGCCAGCCAGCACGATAGGCCCTAGCACCGAGATAGGCGCCAGATCGATAGGCACCAGCCAGCGCGATAGGCGCCAGCCAGCACGATAGGCCCTAGCAGCGAGATAGGCGCCAGATCGATAGGCGCCAGCGCAATAGGCGCCAGCCAGCGCGATAGGCGCCAACCAAAGCGATACGCGCCAGCCAGCGCGATAGGCGCCCGCCAGCGCGATAGGCGCCAGCCAACGCGATAGGCGCCAGCCAGCGTGAAAGGCGCCCGCGCGTAAGGCGCCAGGGTGTTAGGTGCCAACACGATAGGCGCTAGCCAGCCCAATAGGCGCCAGCCAGCGGGATTGGCGCCAGCGCGATAGGCCCCAGCGTTTTAGGCGCTTGCGGGTTAGGCGCCTGCGCGTTTGGCGCCAGCGCGCTACGCGCCAACGCGCTGAACGTCAGCGCGCTTGGCGCCAGCGCGTTTGGCGCCAGCGCGCTAAGCGCCAGCACGCTTTGCGCCAGCGCGCTAGGCGCCAGCGCGCTTGGCGCCCGCGCGCTAGGCGCCAGCGCGCTAAGCGCCAGCATGTTAGGTGCCAGCGCGCTAGGCGCCAGTGCGCTAGGCGCCAGCGCGACAGGCGCCAGCGCTCCTGCGTGCTCGCTCCCGTGCGCACACATTCCCTCACACTCCCTCTCTCCCCTTCTTAAAATGGAGGCACAATGCTAAGAGAAGACTAATTGGCACAGAGAACTTACAAGGAAAGTGGAAAATATAGGACATTCCAGAGGGAGAAGGAAACGCACCTGAGACAAAGGTGCCTACGAAAACAACGCGCGGCCGTGCAGCAACCCGCGCTTGTGCTCGTGCACCCACCAAAGGCAACGGCGGGAAGGGAGAAGGAGGCAACAACGAGGAGGAAGGGAGTGACGGCGGGGAGTGAGGAGAGGCGACGGCCGGGAGTGAGGGAGAGGCGACGGCAGAGTGGAAATGGCGACTGGGTTGGGAAGGTATTTGGGGAGGGAGAGAACGGGAGATTTAGTGTTCTTGAATTCAAGAAACGGGACTCCCAAGAAGGGAGCAGAGTTGGCAATGTCAAACTTATATCATATAGCTTGTCTAGGCTATAGTGGGGTAGACACTATGGGGTACAGTTTCCTAGGGTTTCCTACTTGTACCCATCCTTGTGCTA